TCAGGTGGCGTCGACTCCTATACCAAGTCCACAAAGTAGCGAAGACTTTTCAGCATTAACCCCGAACCCAGGCGACTTTGTAATGAGTTGCAGAGTCCACGGGGAAAGTAAGAGAAGCAAATCGTCGGTGCAACTGGCCATGCGACACGTAACATGCATAGAGGATGTTGCCATCTTAATGGCACTCGCGGCTGCCATTGACCATAGCTTTGGTCTTTGGTTCATTGCCACATGGATACAACCAGAATTAATAATTGAAAGTGGTGCATTCAAGGGACACTCCACGTGGGTTATATGGCAATGCCCCACACACCAATTACTTGCAAAATGGGGCTATGATTCCCAAAAGAAAAATCATGTGGGTGCTGATTTAAAAAGAAATGTAGTGGAAAATCGTATCATGAGTGCTTGGTAAGAACTTGGCCTTGTCTCATAGTTTCCTTTAGTTTTAGTTTATGGCTCAATAGTACAAATTAATTCGGTTCATTCCCTAATTTTAGTGATTAATTATTTTAGTAACCACACAAGTATTCTATTATATTAATTGGGTTTCCAAATTATTATTTCAATTCTAATAAGCTATCTTTATGGTGAGGAAAAAATATTTCGATACGAGTTAGTAATTTTGATGGTATGGATCAAGAGGAAAATATTGGAAGTTGAATCAAAGATCGAGGGTGTTCGAATGGAATTTAAATGGTCGACCAGTATGGCACAAAAATCGAAGTAATATTTTACTACCACTTTATGCTTTATGGAACATGTTGATATTGATAATTGTATGAATAAGATAATGGTTGGTCTCATCTGGGTAGTTAATTAATTCATACACTCGATATGAATGCGGTAAAAATTCAGTAACTGAATATGACTCGAATGCCTAATATAAGAAATTGAGGGATTGTTAGAATTAAATTACAAGTTCTATGATTAATGATATAGAAATCAGCTCTGGATATGACTTATAATTATATCATCAAAGGTTAAATGTTGAAGGTACTTAGATAATAAATTATGAGAATATTTTGGTTAGGTGAAATTACGAAATTATGAAATTGCCCTTGAGAGGTAAAAATAGTCCGAGTTGGTCCTGAATGAGAAATTACTTTGAGGATTCGTACTTAACTCGATAAATTACGGATTTAATTGTTAAGATCCTGTCTTTGTACAGAAAATTCGAGATAACCCGTTAGTAACTTTTGAAAAGGTAATTGACATGGAAATCTTCGAATTAAGAATAAATTATCGAGGTTGCTCTTTTGTCAGAATTGTTCGCAAGTACTGGAAAAGATGATACGTTTGAATTAAATAATAAGATCAAGTGGAAGGAAAGGATTGAAACAAGGTGGATCAGTAAAATGACCAAAATACCCCTATAATGGAAATGACTCAAGAATATCACCAAGCCTAGAAATGAATGGAAAAATATTGAACACCAAAATGACCAAAATGCCCTTCTGGTTTAGACTAAGTAAATGTCTTGAGTTAATTAAGGAATTCAAATAAACATAGATGTTGTACTACCCTTAAAAGTAATGGAACACAATTTAAGTGAGTAGATCAACCTTAATGCTATGTCAATACTTGAATGACATAGATATCACTTAAATGCGTGTTCGTCTTCTCCAGTTGGGATCGATGATAATTCTGGAAATACTTAGCTCAGCTCAACTCTAGAGCGCATTCGGTACTAAGAAGAGGATATTCGTGATACAAGTCAACCACAAATACCAGAATGACTATTATATGACTAAAGTGAACTGAAAGGAAGTACAATATGTATCCAAAATCCAGAAACGTCTGAATTACTCTGGAAAACTCTAAAGTAACCGGGATACACTTGATTGCTAAATGAACTAAGTAACCTTAATGACTGAGGATTAAATAAGTGATTTGGATGAGTCTGGAAACATTTTTGAATTTACATGATGAATTGTCCTTATTGGTCATGAACCATGAATCAAGTACGTCAGTATTTCCTGATATCATTGAAACGTGGAAATGAAATAAAGACCATAGGAAGATCTATTCAGCGATGATTACGAAGATGATTAATGGACAAGAATTGTTAGTACTAAAGAGTGAATACCTTGGAAAGGAAATAAATTGACGTGTTTACATGCATTAGTTCTGAGAGTTGTTCAGTTCGAATTGTTTGATAAATCGATCGATCAACATGGATTGTAAATGTCTTGAATCTCCGTTTCTCCTTTGTTAGCTAAAATCATTTCGGTAATTCCTGAACGCTTTCCTAATGCACATGAAAACATAGTGGAATTCTAAAGTATCAATCTTAAATGTCTGATTAGATCAGTTAGTAATTGATTCTCATCAATAGGACCTTGTTACTGGAATCCGATCAAATTGCACAACTTCCATGTTATCCATAGTGATAACTACAAAATGCCTCTGAAAAATATTTGGATTCTCTAGTGTGTTCCATATTTATTAATAAATTGTTTTATTGTTTTAACATGAGGTACAATGAAATCTATGGTTACTGTTTTATGGATGCACTGACTTAATGGTGATGGCTTATGGAATTGTATCACGGTATAAATTGTATCTTGGAGATATTGATTTGTAAAGTACAGCTCTGATCAAGCTGGAAAATTTTTATGGAGCTAATGTGACTCTTAGGTAGGCTCTGCGGCCCTGAGATCATTATCGGGTAGGCCCTGCGGCCCTAAGATGTGTTCTTAGGTAGGCCCCATGGCCCCAAACATTTCTTGGGTAGGCTCTCAGGCCCTAAGATGTCCCTTAGGTTAACTCTTTATATGATGATTTTAAGCTATGAGTTTGAAAAGCTCCACTACAGTATGATTTATGAAATTTACTGAACTATCATTTGATCAATGTACCTATTATGATTTTATCGTACTGTTGGAACACACTAGACATCCTATTCGATCTCCTAAAAATGTCATACTTTGAATGCTTTTTATGACCTAAGATCTTCATGGATTCTACTCGATGAACTACCAGTGAAATCCTAGATTATTCCGAACACCGGTATATGTCCGATTCAATAAGGAAATTATATGGTTTTCCATTTATATGCATGACCTATAGCATTATCTGGTAGTTATGTATTACTGAGCTTTTTGAAGCTCACTTTGTTACTCACCATTGCAGGTTAAAAGAATTGTACCAGTACAACTATCAATTTCAGTAAGGGGGTTCTTTCGGCGTTGCTTGTAGAGAATGGTATATGTGATTAGGGGGCATGTAATTGTATTTTGTTTATATATATGAAATTTGTTTTATCTCTGCATACTGATAAATCATTTTATGAGTTTACATGTTTAATAAAAATTTTAAATTTTTCGTTATTTTTACGGTGGTTTGCTCCGGTGGCCCTAATGTGACACCCTAGATCGGATCGGGTTACCCACATCAGTCTGAGGGGGTTACATTATATGAGTTAAAATACTTTCTTCATTCTACCCAGTTGATGCACTGTAGAAAACAACTAATGCATGAGTTTATTTTCTTTCTGAAGATGGTGTTAAGAACTTCAAAGATTGTTAAATATGCTTGATAAACCCTTGTTTCATATACTATTTGAAACATACGATAAATTGTCCTTTTTATGCTACCTATGTTACTAGGATGTGAATGTCATATACGAAATATGTATCTATAATTGGTTTAAGGGTCATATGCCCTTACCCATGTCCGAATATGCATTGGACAATGGACATAGGTGTCGGACACAAATACTTAAATGAAGAGTCCAAAGCAACATAATATTCTACTGGTTAATTGCAGTATTCTCATGTTTTTATCTTGTTTATTTTGGTGGTGGCATTCATAGATTGGACAAGCACTGAGGTCAGTATTGAAAAGCTTAAAATTCTGGGACTCAATAAAGGAGCTTGCAAGGGCATACGAGTATATCATGTGTCTGATATTGTTCATGCCCATAGCTATCTTATCATGGTTCCCTTTCTTGTTCGAGTTTCAAACCCGATTGCTCTTCAACCAAGCATTTAGCAGAGGACTCCAGATTTCGATGATCCTTGCTGGAAGAAAAGAGAAAGACAACATCTCCCCAATCAAGTATGCTTGAAGATTCTTTTGTTGTCCAGCAGCCATCCATCGTTATCCTTTTTGTAAGGCTTTTTAGCATTTCTTATGACAAACTTTTATCATTTAATTTTTTTTATTTAAATATTCAACATATGACTTGATTTTTTTTTTATAAATTTAGATATATGATGGATAATATTTGATTTGAATTCGAAAAATCATGCCTAAATAATTTATAGATAAATAAATATTCAAAATTTTAAATAAATTTACATATTCAGATAATTTATAAAATAGATATAATTAACATATTACCATTTTTAAACACATTTAATGTGTACCCAAGTATTTTCCCCTTTTTTATTATATTTCACCATGTTTATTACACATTTTCTTAAAATTTTCGTATTATGTCTTGTTATTGTTAGAAATATTGTTTTTAATATTTTCTCTAATCAACTCAAACATTAATGACTTACCTCATCATCTTTACTATTATACTGATTTAAAATGACTCAAAATCTATCCAAAATTTATTTATGTTAAAACGACTTTCATCTATAGTTTCTATCATTCAATAAAAATGAAATCGAGGTATAATTTTTCTCCGTTTCTTACATCTTTCTATTATTGCAATCTCGAAGAAAATATTTTAACTTGTGTATATTAAAAAGAGTTTGAAAATCTAAATTTAAGATTTATAAATAAAAAAAATTATGAAAATTTTGCATAAAATTACAAGTAAATTTTTTTTTTCATGAAATTAAAAGAAAAATGTCACACCATCTGAATGTTGAAGAATTACAAGTGATTTAGAGAAACATATTTCAAAAGTTTGGGTTCTAAATTAAATTGTTTTATTGTTTTATTGTTATAGAGCCAAAATAGAAATATTTGAAAACAGAAATTTGTGATCGGAATCAAATTAAAGTGGGAACAGGCAAGTGAAGAGCAGAGGGATTCAAAGGGTGAGCGAGGAAGGCAAAAAGAAGCGAATGATGAGCTTAAAACACCATAACTCCAACTCTGCTTCTCTTCAATCTCTCTCTTTTGAAGACGTCGCTGACTTCTTCTCCCTTCCTCTCGACGACGCCGCTTCCACTCTTGGTAATTTTTTAAGCATTTCATTTGAGATGTCAATTCCTTTTATGCTTTTCATCTCTATATTGATTCTCCATCCCTCAGGCGTTTGCGCCTCCGTTCTCAAGAAAATCTGCCGTGAAAATGGTCTTGACAGGTGGCCTCATCGCAAGGTAACTCCTCTTTCTTCTCTCTATTCTTTTACTTGTTTTTTTTTATCACTCAAATGCTTAGATATCGTTATCTGCTTTGATGGGTATTTTGGATTTTTCGTATACAAAAAGAAATTTTTCTTCTTTTCTTCCTCGACTATCTGCACTTTTGTGGTGATAATTGTCAGAGTTTCATCCAACGGTTGAATATTGTCATATGACTTGACGGGTAGTTTTGATTTTAGTGTAGAAAAAGGAAATTTTGATTCTTTACTTGTCTGCACTTTCATGTTTGTGTTTTATTTGTGCCCGCTTTACATTTGTACAGTTAAATACATCTGTTATTTTTTTCCCTTTCTATTGTTCCCTTTTGTAGGGAAAATCTTTTAATTTTGTGCTGTTTCGTTTCAATATATGTGATTTTTTTAAACGAGGTCTAGTTTTTAGCTGGGAAGAGCATTGAAGAAATTAAGAAGCACGCAGATAGAGAAAGAAGAAAAGAAATCGCAGAGCTTTCTAAGGCTCATTGGCAAAGGTATAATGTCAAACGATTTGCTTGGTTTGGTTTTCTAAGGCTCATTCATGATAATTTGGATTTATTTATTTTAGCTGTGGGGGTTCAATTTGGTGATTTTATTTGGATTCTTCTTGATGATGCCTTGTGTGTTTTGTGAATTTTGTAAACAAATAATTCACCATAAGCTGTGTTATCGTCAATCAATTATGTTGGAGGGAGAATTATTTAGTTAACTTCTAAGAAAAGCTATTGAAGACAATGCTAAATGAACTTGCATTTTGTCTATCTTGTCATAGGAAAATGTTGTCATAACTATTTTATTTCGACTAGGGTGACTGTCGGATATGGGCACATGTCAAACACGGTTATGTTCTATTTCTCTGTAAATTTTTCCATGTGTTTAGAGGGTTCTTAAGAGGGTCATAGTGTCATACATCTGTACCTATGCTTGGATATGTGTAATGTGTTAGATATTACTGTTAGACACGAATGTTTTGAGAGAAATCAAGAGTGGGAGTAACAGTGTCATAGCCTCTAAGGAGTAGAAAAATCTAGTATATTGTAAAAATTTAAGTTACGAGTTTTTCCTTCTTTTTATAATTTTATTTCAAGGAAAAAAGATATCCATGAAACTTATGGCTAATTTGAACTTATGGCTTTGTTAAGCTCCATCATAGTGCTTTGTGGAAACATTAGCAAACCTGTGTTAATACATGTAACAAATCTGTTCTTCTTTTCTTTTCCTTTTTCGGTAGTTGAGCTCAAAACGAAGATTCTGAGCACATTTTTTTTGGTTGTAATATGCATGTTGATTTCATGTTTGTTTTCCCTTCTAAAAAATCTCACCAGGATTCCGTTAATGGTGTAGATTAAAAGTTCAAACAGATGATGAAATGAGATAACACAAATATATCACCATATCATCTATGTTAAACTTGTTAATCTAACTTGGTGTGTGTTTACTGTGTATGGCTGTAAATGAACCAATCTTGAACAAACAAATCTATGTTCATGTTCGTTTGTTTATTTTGAGCTTGCTCTTGCTCGGTTCATGAGCTGAGTTGAAGGCCATTCAAGCTGGTTAGCTTTGTTTGTGGAATCAGAGTGGTGTGGTAAGGGTCGGTTAATTATAGAGACTGATTCTGCAATTGCAGTGAAATGGATTAAGACTCCGGAAGTGTGTCCTACCGTGTTTTCACAGCTAGTTAAGGAAATTGTCAGTGTTGTATTGGAGCATAGTGTTATTATAATGCTTGTAAAAAGGGTTGTGAATTGGGAGGCTGACAGTTTGGCTAAGTCGGGGATAGGGTAAATGTTTAGTAATTTTTGTTTGGATGTTGTGTTTGTTGGGAGGGTTGAGGTTAAGTTGGTGGGTGATGTTTGTAATAGCCTGTTGTTGTATGAGGTGTAATTTCTTTTTGGAATAATATTTGAGGCACTCTTTTCCTCCTTCGAATGTCCGTTGCGGTACTTTTGTACAGCGGCGGTTATGAAGGGGTTTTTTAACGAGGCATCGTTTCTTATAAAAAATGTAGATTAAAGTTATGCATGTTTGTGTTCGTCGTATTAAACTAAATGAACTTGTTCAGGAACACTACACGACATGTTCATGAATATAGAAGTGAACATATTTGCAAACAATTAAAATGTGTTCATGAGAACAAACCATAAATGAACATTTTTCTTATTTTTGGATGTAAACCAAATTGTTCATGAACATAAATGAACCAAACATGCCTTGTTCGTGTTCATTTCATTTAATAAACAAGGGTCAAAATCTTCTTCATGCTTTGCTTATTTAGCGTGATAAATGCACTTACTGAACTGTTCATGACATGCTTTGTTCATTTGCAGCCCTATGTATGTGTGGATCTAAGGTTCAAAGGCCATTCATTGTTGTAAAACAAAATTACACTTTTGCTTGGTTGCTTCTTCACCCTTGATTACTGCTCCTCAACACTTTCACTCACTGATTTTGCAGTCACTAAGACTGTAAAACTTTATTGCATGAGAAACGTATGGAGCTCATGCTTCTTTGCGAACGATTACCGTTGTTGAACCGCAATGTTCCTCTTCTATCAGCATGACAGTTTTTTGGTATTATTGACAGTTGAAACTTTCGTATTACTACTATTTCATGGTTCTGCATACTGCAGCTCTCAATCTCAACCACAAAGCAACGAACAACCCAAATTACAAGATGGTGCTGTTGTGCCAAACTTACAGCAACAAGGAGCAAAAAACATACAAATGGGGCAGACCCTGAATTTTAACCACCAAAGCTTGATGATAGGAACGAAAATGTCAGATGAATTTAAGTTTGGATTCCCATCAGATGGCTTATCTGTTGCTACAAACAAGTGGTGGGGAAGTAGCAAGTCCGATGGCGATGAAGCGGTCGACGTTGATGGAGCTGAAACCGAGGGAGAAAACAAGCATCAAAGTAAAGAATTGCCTGACGATATGGCCAATGACAAACCCAATGAAAATGGAAAATTGGACGACCTTAATCCTCAAGGGTCAGATCTGCTGGCAGCTGTTAGAAAAAGGCTGTGGAAGAAGGACGAGAAGCGCTTAAACTTGGCGTCCACAGGGGCCGTGGAATGAAAAAGCCAAGTAGCAGAAAGGCGTCGCTGCTGCTTCGAGTATTCAAATCTTCATTACCTAATGACTGGTTTCATGTACCTTCCTAATTTTATCAAGAGCAAGAAGATCCAGATATAATGACTACGAGTGCAAGGTACGACGGAAGATCCGATTACTGACATCATTGGCTTTCATTTATATCCTTCTACAATTTTTGGCTAACATAATCATCTTTTCTTTTTGTCAAACAAAGGTTCTTAACAGTAGGGGTGTGGGTACCCGGATTTTCCGGATTTTCGGGTACCCGGAAATCGGGTACCCGGAACATCCGGATCATTGATTTCTCGGCCCGTGTTCCGACCCGGATATTTCGGGTACTCAAATTTTACGTGTACCCGTATGTCGGGTACCCGGTTTTTTTTTAAATGTTTTAAAAAATAATTATTTAATTTAATATATAATATTATGTTGGATAAAAAAAAATCTCATATATTGAAATGTTCTAAAATAATAGTTGTTTACTTTAATTTAATATATAATAGTTGTTTACTTAATTTTAGAGACTCTTTTTATATATAAAATAATATTATATTATATATACCCGGATACCCGGTGTTACTTTAAAATATTCTAAAAAAAAGTTGTTTACTTTAATTTAATATATAATATTATTAATAATTAAATATATAATAATAGTAAATCATAAATCCAAATTTTAAATTCAAAGTTTTCAAAATGCAAATTAAATAATATTTTAACATCCTATCTTTCTAATTTTAGGAGCCTTTTTGGACGTGATCATTGTTAGCCCAATAAGCACAAATGTAATATTCATAAGTCTGGGAATGAATATTTTAAGAAATAACAGTGCAGAAAAGCCTGAAAAAACAACAAGCTAACCGGGTACATGGGTAACCGGGTACCCGGAAAAATCAATTTTTGTGACCCAGATCCGACTCAGAAAGTATCGGGTCGGGTACCCGACCCGGCCGGGTATTTTTTAAAAGAAAATTACTCGAGAGAATTTGATGGATAATAGTTAGCTTTTAGGAAAGTTTTATGTCATGTTGCTTTGACCTTTTGATTTCATATAATGCGATCACGATATGTTTAACTTTGTTCATATTGCATTGAATGCTATCATGTTGAATTCCCTGTCCCAGGAGAGATTATCTAGTAAAACACTACGTACATACCTCCGCTAAAATTGTCATTTATCCATTTTTTTAAATTTTCAAATCAAGTAGTTTTTAAATATGTATTTTATAAAATTAAATTATTTAAAATATAATCAAAATTTTAAAAATTAATAAAAAAAAATCACGAGTAGTAATTCTAACGAGAAGGACGAAGTATATATAAGGTTAGAATTTACTTGCACAATGTAAAACTTTTTAGTTTTACACAGATTTAAAATTGTTAGATGAGTGAAAATAGATGGCTGAAATTGGTTCTTTATTTTTTTTCCTTGTGAATATCTTTTCATTTCTTATTGTTAATCTCAGCTATCTATTTGCACTCATTTAACTGTCCTAAATCTATATAAAATTAAAAAAAAAATTACATTGTGTAACAAGATCTTATCCCGTATATATGAATGCGTTATGAACTATTTACATAATTTAAAATTCATTAGTTTTATACAAATTTAGGATCGTTGGATAAGTAAAAATAAATTACTGAGATTGACTCTTTTTAGTAAATATTTTCTCATTTCCTACTGTTAATCTTAACAATATATTTTCACTCAATGATTTTAAATATATGTAAAACTAAAAAAGTTTTACATTATATCAAAAATATATATATATAGACGCACGCTTGCTCACTCACTCACACATGGTTGATTAAGTTTGTGTCAGGAGTTTGTATCTGCGTTTTGCTTGCACATAAAACAACAAATACCAATGGAAAATTTTGAATTAAACAAAGTGATATTTGTGTTTATAAAATATTGAAAATAAAAGTTTAACTTATTTATAAAATGATAAGATCCAAACATATAAAAAGAGGAGAATTTACCCATAATTTGCACTTAACGGAATTGAAGCTTAGACATTAGTAAAACCTTAGTCTTACCAATTTTATTAATGTCTTAAGTAATTATTTAAAAATAATATTTGTTTAAAATTTTCTTAATTTATTCACAACACACACATCCTGTAAATGCAGTTTCTCGAACTCATGATCTTTATGGAGAATACTCTTCTCTTTTACCACTAAGATCACTTGATGTGTTCGAAATATTGAGGTTACTTGATGAGTTCGGGATATCAAGAATTTTAAGTACTCAAACTTAGTTGAAATTAATTAAATTAAAAATATAAACAATTTCCACAAAATTATATAAATAAATATAAATCCTTTTAAAAATTATGGGTAAAATGAGAAATTTATCAATAATTTCTTTTAAAAATTATATATATAAATATATTATAAAATTATATTTTATTCATTAAAATGACAAACTTTTCATTTAATCTTTTTAAATTTTTAATATTAAAAAAATTCAGTGATAAAATTATATATATATAGTTTAAAGTAGAGGGGAGTTGTCTATGGATGACAGAGTTGAATCATACCTTCCAAAGCCATTTTCATAAGAGATTAGGATATTCTAACTTGTTGAATATGAAATTTATGAATTTTTTCATTGAAAACAAAAAGGGCAATTTTGTAAGTATACATCAAGGCAAACTTAGATTTTTGGAGTTGGGTTTGACCTCTCTATATCAACTCCTCAATTTCATGTTTTTTTTTAATCTTTTTGATTTTAATATATGCTTCTCAAAATTATATTCAAAATTTTAGGGTAAATTACATATTTAGTCACCCAGTTATTTCTATAATTTTTATTTTAGTCACCTATCGTTAAAAAGTAAATAGAACTGTTGATATGATATTTTTAAAATTTAATTTTTGACGGTGGATGATCAAAACATAACAAAAACAAATTTAGTAATGACTTTAGAAAAATAGTTGGGTGATCAAAATGGAACCGTAAGAATAGTTAGATGAGTAAATACACCATTTACCCAGAAAAATTATATTTAAAAGGGTAAACTATATATTTGGTCACCTAACTATCACTTTAGATAAGTATTGGTCACCACCCAACAAGTTATTTTCAAAATTATACCTAACATTACATTTTTTTGTTATGGTTATCTATCGTTAAAAAAATTAATGGAAATGGTGATGTGGTAAATTTTTTGTTTATTCAATGATGACATGACATTATCTTATGATGAAACATCAATATCACCGTTAATTTTTTAATTATGAGTATGATTTTGAAAAGAATAATAGTTAGATGACCAATATGATATCAAAGTGATAATTGGGTGACTAAATAATGTTGTTTACCCCAAAAATTATAAAAAATAATATTAAAATAAATAGTATATATAAATTAATAAAAATTATAAAAATTATTCTGTCAAAAATCCAAACCAATCCAAAGGCAAATCTATAGGGGTCCATGAGTTCACCTCAAATTTGCTTTTCCTTCACTATGTTTCTTTCTCTTTGGGTCTCTGGTTTCCTCCATTGCAAAGTAAGCTTTCTTTGAGGTCCCTCTCTTCTCCTCAAACACTTAAAGACCCACCAACCATTTCACCCACCCCTGCTTTTTATTATATTTTGTCTGCTCCTTTTCTTACCCATTTTCTCTTTATTATTATCTGAATTCTTTTTTCGTTCCCCCCCACTTGGAAGGCAACAACAAAATAGAGAGAGCTTCTCCTTGTGAACTACTCTTTCCCTTTGCATTTGCAGTTTTACCCTTTTTCAGGCATTTGGATTGTCTTGGACTTTCCTTTTGCTCATTTGGATGGTTTTGCTTTCTCTTTGCTTCTTTGAATGCTCAAGGAAGTAGATCAAGGTGCATGCTTTATCTTCTTTTTTTCTGCATCTTACTTGGATCATAAGTGATTCTTTTGTTTTGTTTTACAAGTTTATTCATTTTCAATGGAAATGGAGTTCCTTTTTCTAATTATGGAATATGAGTTTATTTTATTTTTTTTATGGTCTGGCTTGATTCCAGAATAGTTTTTTTAATTAAAAGATTTAACTCATGAGCTTAGTTAAATGTGGTATCAGATTCTCCTTCTCTTTTTCATCTTTTACTGTTCTTTTCTGTGGGTGAAGATTAAGCCAAGTATCTTATGGCATTTATTGACTTTTTTGAGTCTTCAGATTTGAATGTAAGGATGGGTTTTTATAAGAGTGGATGAAATGTCTATCACATTTAGCTTCTTCTCCATAAACTTTCTCCAAAAATGCGCCTATGGACCTTGAAAATGATTAAACATATTGTCATATTGGTATTTCTGGTGTTGTATGACATGTTTCTAGTACTGTCTTAAGATTTTGATCTTTGTATACAAGAGGCTAAATATAATTTTTGACTGTTAAATCCTGAAGATCAGAGATGTCGTCTCAGGGTGCCTTAAATGCTAAATTGTCAAAGAAGACAACATTTTTGGGTCTAAAACTTTGGGTTCTGATTTGTATATATGTTGGGGCATTTATAGTGTTGATTCTTGGTATCTTGTCTGTATGGGTTACATTTCGGAGAAGATCCAGGCAATCGGTGGACAAGTTCTCGCATTCTCAGATACTAAATGTCTCAAAGGAAATCAAGGTTGACAAGGTTGGAGTTCAGAGCTCCAATGATCTTCCGGAGAGTTTATTCATTTCAGTTGATGATAAATCGAATGGTCAGAATTCAGAGAAAATGCTAGCTCATTTGGGGATGAGAAAATCAAGTGATCCTGATAATACAAGTCAATGCAACTCATTTTACCATCATGAGAGGGGTTTTAGTTCTCATTCAGGAGATGAAGGTAGCTCAGGAACGGTTCGCAAGCAGTCTGCATTTTCATATGGAGGACTAGTGACGGCCTCTCCCTTAGTTGGTCTGCCTGAAGTTTCACATCTCGGGTGGGGTTACTGGTTTACTCTCAGGGATCTTGATCTTGCCACAAATAATTTCGCAGCGGAGAATGTTATTGGAGATGGTGGATATGGGGTGGTTTACAAGGGTAGGCTCATCAATGGAACTGAAGTAGCAGTTAAGAAGATTCTTAATAATCTGTAAGGATATCTTAGAGATACTTTCTTGTTTCTTGTAAAACTTTGTTCTCATAAACGATAACTTTTGATAAATCGGGCACTTGGATGTCCAGGGGTCAGGCTGAAAAAGAGTTTAGGGTTGAAGTGGAGGCCATTGGTCATATTCGTCATAAGAATCTTGTGCGGCTTTTGGGTTATTGCATAGAAGGAGTTCATAGGTGAAACTCAAACATGTTTTATTAGTTTATTTGTCAATTTCGTGCAGATTCACTTCTAACTGTAATTGTGTGTTAATATGTTAATACAGGCTACACTTTTGTTATCCTATATGTCTCTCTAGTTATTTAAGTATGGCTGCCTGCAAATGAGATAACTGTAGTTATCAACTGATTGTTGTAGGATGCTGGTATATGAATATGTGAATAATGGTAACTTGGAACAATGGCTACACGGGGCTATGCGCCAGCATAGTACCCTAACTTGGGAGGTTCGTATGAAGGTTATTCGTGGAACTGCCAAGGCGTAAGTCACCATTCAAACTTGAACCTTCTTGTTTCTTCTTTTGTTGGTTAAAATTGAAGTGTCATAAAAGGCTGGTGTTTTTCGGTTGCAGGCTTGCTTATTTGCATGAAGCAATAGAGCCGAAAGTTGTTCACCGGGACATAAAATCAAGTAACATCTTGATTGATGATAATTTCAATGCCAAGGTTTCTGATTTTGGACTGGCCAAGCTCTTGGATTTAGGAGAGAGTCATATCACAACTAGAGTTATGGGGACATTTGGGTAACTATTAAAGTTCCTCTCTCCGGCAATCATCTATTATTGTATATCAATTCTAATTATCTCCAGATTGAAAATTTCGTATGTAAAATTAAAGCTATGTGGCACCAGAATATGCTAACTCTGGCTTGTTAAATGAGAAGAGTGACATTTACAGCTTTGGTGTCCTCCTCCGTCATGTTGGCAGATTCCTGTGCGCCGATATTTTTCTTCGGTGCTCGGCAATCTCTTTTGAAGTGGCCCTTCTTGCCGCAATTATAACAGATAAAATCTTTATTTCCTGTTCTTGATTTTCCCCTTCTGGATTTCGATCTGCCACGATTTGAATTTCTTTCTGAAGTTCTCCCTCTGGACTCCGTGTGCAAGGCTGAGGAGGTTGATGCTTCACCCGATTCTCTCCGTCGAATTTCTTCACTCAGTACCAGATCCCGAACATCGTCGAATTTTAATTTGCTGTTTCCCGACGAATTGCTGACTGCTGTAACAGTAGTATTCCAACTGTCTGGTAAAGATGATAAGAGAATTAAAGATCGAACTTCATCATCAAATTCAATTTTCGCTGAACTCAACTGGGTTGTGATTGTGTTGAGTTCATTTAGGTGTTGTGCCACCGATATCCCTTCCGTCATCCGCAAATTCAATAATCGTCTTATCAAATGAACTTTGTTTGAGGCCGATGGCTTCTCATACATACTGGAGAGAGCTGTCATAAGACCCGCCGTGGTCTTTTCTTTGCTATGTTGAAAGCAACATTGCGGGATAACGTCAGTCGGATAACTCCGAGGGCTTGTCTGTCGAGAAGAGCCCAGTCTTCATTCTTCATGCCCTCTGGTTGTTTTCCTGAGAGGGGTTGATATAGATTTTTCTGGTATAGAAAATCTTTAATTTGCATCTTCCAAAATCCAAAGTCCGCACCATCGAACTTTTCAATTTTCACATTCCCTTCGTCTGCAGCCATCGCTCCCCCTCGAATCTGGCTTCGTTTGGATCGTTTCTGACAATTTTTGCAAACCGTCGTGTATTAGAACACCTCCGTCGACAAACTCGTATCGCCGACCGAATTTTACTATTCATGAAATTCACTATTCACGTGAATAGTAACCCAAATAGTAACCTCGCAAAAAATTGACAAAATTTACAACCCAAAAGCTCTGATACCAGTTGTTGGGAAATAAACCAAGTACAAGTAATTTCCCTATAACCAGATTAGTGAGAATGCAAAATAAAAGCGGAAAAATAATACCCGAAATTGATAACGGAGTTCAGCCAATTGTGCTTACGTCTCCGGACTGCTGCAGATCTTTTACTAAGAGAGAAAATTTACAGTTGTTTACAAAACACTCACTACTCACAAGAAAACTCTCTAGTATTGGGAGAAAGAAATGATTTTTGGGATGGTTTTGAAGCTAAATGAGCTAGGGTATTTATAGTTGAAACTTAAGGACTTAATCTTGTAAATACCCTAAAACCTAGGGATTAATTGTGATTATCCCATTATCATTTTTCAACAAACATCTACCAAACTTTGAAAAACTATTTTTCAAAGAAACATTTACCAAACTTTGAAAACCATTTTCAAAGAAACATTTACCAAACTTTGAAAATCATTTTTTCAAAGTTGGTTACCAAACTTGAAAACCATTTTAATACTTTCAACAATCTCCCACTTGAAGACTGATTTTAATCTGTCTTCACACCTCGATCTATGCAACAGCTTTTCTAGTCTTGTTACTCTAGCATGCCAACTGAAGTTAAACACAACTTCAGTTTGTCTGTAGTCACCGTCTTTGTCAACATATCTGCCGGATTTTGAGCTCCACTGATCTTTTCAAGTTTCAAAATCTCATCTTCCAGAAGAGACCGGATAAAATAATATCGCAATTGTATGTGCTTTGTCCTGGAATGAAAAGACGGATTCTTTGCTAGATGTATAGCACTTTGACTGTCGCAATACAAGACATTGTTTTCTTGTTTCTTGCCTAACTCTTCCAAGAAACTTTGGAGCCAAACCATCTCCTTGCTAGCTTCCGTAACAGCGACATATTCTGCTTCAGTTGTGGAGAGAGCAACTATCTTCTGTAGTTGAGAAACCCAACTCACTGCGGTTCCTCCTAGAGTATAGACATACCCTGTAGTGCTCCTTTTGATGTCAACATTTCCGGCTAAGTCAGCATCTACATAGCCTGTCAGTATCGCATCTCTACCTTTGAAACAAAGTGCTTTGTTTGTGGTACCCCGCAGATATCTGAGGATCCATTTGACTGCTTCCCAGTGTATCTTGCCCGGATTATTCATGTACCTGCTAACAACTCCCACTGCTTGAGCAATATCTGGTCTGGTACAAACCATGGCATACATCAGACTTCCAATCGCTGAGGCGTACGACACCTTCACCATGTGTGCACGTTCTTCCTCCGTCTTTGGTGACTGTTCTTTGGAGAGTCTGAAATGAACACCTAAAGGTATACTTACTGGTTTAGCATCTTGCATGTTGAACCTGGAGAGTACTTTGTTGATGTACTCAGCCTGTGATAATATCAAAGTCCCTGACTTTGTGTCTCTCTTGATCCTCATCCCAAGAATCTGCTTTGCAGCGACCAGATCCTTCATAGCAAACTGCTTTGACAATTTTTGCTTCAAGTTTATAATCTCTTGCATGTCTGAGCCTGCAACGTGCATGTCTGAGCCTACAACGAGCATGTCATCAACGTACAACAATAAAATAATGAAGCTATTGTCGAACCTCTTGATGTAGCAACAATGATCTGCTTGGCATCTGGTAAAACCACTGCTACTTATGAAACTATCGAACTTCTTGTACCACTGTCTAGGAGCTTTTTTTAAACCATACAAGCTCTTCTTCAACCTTCATACCAGGTTTTTCTTGTCTGCCTCTATGAAGCCTTCTGGCTGCCTCATATAGATTTCTTCCTCCAAATCACCATGAAGGAAAGCTGTCTTTACATCTACCTGCTCAAGATATAAATTCTCTGCAGCTACAATTTTCAACACCAGTCTGATTGTAGACAGTTTCACGACTGGAGAGAAAATTTCATTATAGTCAATACCTTCTTTTTGCTGAAAACCTTTGACAACCAATCTCGCTTTGTAGCGTTTGCTCCCATCGTGCTCTTCTTTGATCCTGTAAATCCACTTGTTGTGAAGCGCTTTCTTGCCTGGTGGTAATTCAGCTAATTCCCACGTCTGATTTGAAAAAAGCGAGTCCATCTCATCTTTCATGGAAGACTCCCACTTGACTGAATCCTCCACTTGCATTGCTTCATCATAGCACTCTGGTTCACCATTGTCAGTCAGCAACAAGTAGTGCAAAGAAGGAGAATACTGTTGGGTTGGTTTAGGAATTCTGGAGGAGCGTCTTAGTTCCGGTGTGCCTGGTTCTTCCCTGAACTGCTTCAGGACTGATCTGAACATCATTTCCAGAAATCTCCTCAAACTCAGCAAATTCCTTTGTTTCACCTTTGGTATTAGATCTGCTTGATTCTACAGTTGACTTGTCTTTGTACATCACATTCTCATTGAAAATGACATCTCTGCTTCTAATGATCTTCCAATTTTCATAGTCCCAAAATCGGTAACCGAATTCATCACCGCCGTAACCAACAAAGGCACATTTGTTGGACTTAGCATCAAGTTTACTTCTTTCAGCAGAGTCTATGTGTACATAAAAAAATACAACCAAACACTCTTAAGTGTGAAAGGTTTATTTCTTTCTTGCTCCAAACTTCCTCTGGTATTCTGCCATCCAAAGGAACTGAGAGCCCACGGTTGATCAGGTAAGCTGCAGTGTTAATAGCTTCAGCTCATAGAAATTTGGGCAATCCAACATGTATCCTCATGCTTATGGCACGTTCATTCAGAGTTCTGTTCATGCGCTCTGTTACTCCATTCTGCTGTGGTGTCATGGGAACTGTTGTCTCCATCTTGATCCCATTATTTGCGCAAAAATCTTTGAATCTCCTATTTCTGTACTCTCCTCTATTGTCAGACCTCAACCGCTTGACTTTCATACCATTCTCATTTTCCACCATGGCCTTCCATTTTCTGAAGGTATCAAAGACTTCTGATTTTTTCTTCAGAAAATAAACCCACACCTTCCTTGTAGAATCATCGATGAAGGTGACATAATATAATGAGCCTGCAAGAGATGGAACTGGAGATGGTCCCCATACATCAGTATGAACTAACTCTAACTTTTCAGCCTTGGGTGTCTTACCAATCTTTGCAAAGCTGACTTTCTTTTGTTTGCCAAAGATGCAATCCTCGCATAGTCCGACATCTACATTCTTTAGATCCGACAGCTTCCCCTTTGAGAAAAGTGTCTTCATCCCTTTCTCGCTCATATGGCCAAGCCTTTGGTGCCATAGGTTGATTTTCCATCAGCATCTGCTACTGCAATGATATTCTTTAAATTTGAGGTTACATAGAGAGTACCAGTCTTCTTACCACGAGCAATGACGAGTGTTCCTTTGGTAATCTTCCATTCACAACCTGAAAATGTTGTACTGTATCCTTCTCCAACAAGTTATCCTACAGAAATCAAATTTCTTTTGAGACCAGGAATATGTCTCACTCCTGTCAGCTTCCAGGTGGTCTGGTTTGGCAGCTTTAGTCGGATGTCTCCTTTTTCGACGATCTTCAAGGTTTCATCATCAGCAAGATGAACCTTCCCAAAATCACCACTGACATAGTTCTCCATGATTTCTTGGCATGGCGTGGAGTGGAAAGATGCCCCTGAATCCAAAATCCATGATTCAATCGGACTGTTGACGCTTAAAATCATGGCATCACATGTCTCCTCCGTCATGTTGGCAGATTCATGTGCGCCGATATTTTTCTTCGGTGCTCGGCAATCTCTTTTGAAGTGGCCCTTCTTGCCGCAATTATAACAGATAAAATCTTTATTTCCTGTTCTTGATTTTCCCCTTCTGGATTTCGATCTGCCACGATTTGAATTTCTTTCTGAAGTTCTCCCTCTGGACTCCGTGT